GATATATTCTTTTATCTTTTTGAGTAGGGTACACCACTACCCTTTTTTGATCTTTTTATTTCTTTGAAATTGTTTTTACGAAAAATCATTTTTCCTGTGAAATACCAATCAAATGCATCCGATTTATTATCCACTCTAGCGAAGAAATTGACAAAAGTTTTTTAATAAAAGCTACAAATTGCATGTTTTGTTTGTGTCCTCCATCTTGAATTATTTCTCCATCTATTTCAATTTGCCCTTTAAATGTTATAAATTCATCAGAGATAAGGTGAATAACATTGGAAAAAAGTTCATTTGATATGAATGTTTCATCGTCTAAAATTTCAATTTTATTCATATTTTTAAGCAACTATTTATAACTAGGAATTTTTAACTTTTATTGATGATATTTCTACATCAAATTTATCTAAAATTTCATTGAATTTTTCTAATTCTTCAACTGTTATGTTCTTGTCTTCTCTCGATCTTTCGAAAAAAATGAATAATTTATTAAGATATGTATTTAAAATTTCTGTTTTCTTTTTATAATAAGCTTTCTGTTTTGATGTAAAACCTAAAGTAATCAATCCACAAGATGAGGTTTGAACGGCAGTGAACGCGGCTAATACAGTTGGGACAATTATTGGAAGCATTAATCCACCGGTTACGGCTGTTGCCACCGTTATCCCTACTGTTAGAACTGTACTTAATGTTTTGAAAACAGAATCGATTCTACTCCATGTTTTTCTACATTTGTTGAATTGTTTTAGTTTTTCTTTTAGTTCGTTTTGTTTTTCTATCATGTAGTTTTGTCTACTTTCGAGTTCCATCTTTTAGGTAATTAAATTAAGTGAACTACTGATAAAGCTGTTTCTTGACTAGAAGCAAATTGAAAAAAAACTTTTACTGATACTAACGACATTTGTTCTTTCGAATCTTTAATCTTATTCAGAAAACGTGAAAATTTTGGTTTTTCAATAGAGATTGATATTCTGACATGAAACTCATAATCTCTTATTGGTAGTATCAAAAGTTTTTGACTTTGTTGACTTTTATGAATATCAATTGAGGTAAACACATCATTATTAACAAAATATAGTTTTACGTATTCAAAGTCTGTTGCTCGTAAAAACTGATAAATGCTTATATCATTTTTTTGTAGTTCTGGATTTCTAATGATATTCATTGATAGTGGACTTTCCGTCGCCAATATCATATCAAATTCACTCAACATAAGTTCATCTTCTTCATTATCTGGTATGATTAACATTTTAAACCTATCTATATATTTTCCACTCGTTTTAATTTTATTAAAGTGACCATTCTTGGTGTTTTCGTCGTTAATTTCCAATTCTTTAATTTCTACATTTTTGATACCATTGATAAACTGAAGAACTTTTTTAGCATTAAATATATTAGATGATGATGATCCTTGTTTGAAGAATATTGAATCAACTTTTATCTGAAAAGGGAAAGTTATTTCAATTATAAGTTTTCCTCGAAAACTAAAATATAATGGATAAAAATCATCTTTTGTATTAAAAATATCTTGGGGGTAAAAAATACCATCTGGAACAGAATATACTCTTTTATTTGCTGTAAATCCATATTTTTTATATTCATAGTCTTTTGATTTATCAATATTATCAGTAATAGAAGGATCATCAGGACGTTCCCTTCCTCCAAATGGAAGATTGAAATAATATGATTATTTCTTGAGAAACTTTTTTTCTAATGCGACTATATTCTTATCCTGTTTCAAAACTAGGTTATTAATAGTGGTTATCTGTTGTTGAATAACACTATCATCAATGTTCTGTATTTGTTGATGAATATAGGTTTTGATTTCGCTATCATCTATTTTTTGTATTTGTTGTTGAATATAGGTTTTGATTTCGCTATCATCTATGTTTTGTATTTGTTTTTTTAATATTTGTTAGTTCTTTTTGTAATTCACTGTTAAGTTTAGTTTCCAGAGCATTTAATTCCTGTTGAAACGTATCTTCATTTTCATCTGGAATGTTATCTATTAATTATTGAATGTCTAATTTTTGTTTTGCAATCTTATCCTCTAATGTAGATATTAATGAAATTAAATTTTGTAACTCAGTTTTATTCGCTACGTTGACCAATTCTTTTTGAATAAAACTTATAAATCTTTGTACCTCTTGTTGTAGTTTAGTATCATTAACAAAATTTTTATTATTTAGTTGACGTTTGAAGAATCTTTTCACATTACTTATTTTATCTTCTAAATGGTTTTTATTTACTTCAATTGAATTTATTTGATCCCGTAAATATTTCTTGTGAACGGCGTCATTATCATTTTCCGGAGACTTTAAATTAGTTATGGTAAAATTCTTCATATCTAAATCACCTTGAAGAGTGTCTCCGATTTGATCCACAAAGTAAGGTTTGGCTTTATTTATCCACGCTCTAGTGTTGGGTTTTTTAGTTTCTTAAGATAAAGAACCTAATCCAAACTTGTTCGCCATTTTTATTGAGTCAAATTTATTACAATTTCTTCGAACTGTTTTCCTAAACTCAACTGATATAAAACCCAAAGTGAAAGCTGACCAAAAAACGTTTGTCCCGGTAATTGAATTTGAAAGGAAGAACATTTGATTGGTTTATTAGTCAATTGTATTATCTCTTCAGTGGGTTCTAATCTATAAGAATCGAAGAAATATAAGTCAGAGTCTTTGTACAAAGCAGAATGATGAACTCCTTTTAGATCGGAAGTATGTATATTTGTTATAGTGTAAAATTTACCTTTCTTATATTTCAGATCATTTATTTCATCTCTCATAAATAATAAAACGGTGATATATTTAACTCATTCGCCCATCTCATAAGTTGAAAGTTTGTGGTTGTATCGGTTCCATATTTATTGACAAATTCATTAATTTTTAAAAGTCGGTTTTTTGAGGAGTATTGTTGAAATATATATGTAATTTGAAAAAAATTGTATTACATTCAATAATATTTTGAACATAAATTTGCATTTAAACTTTAAAAATCTAAAGCGTAAATGCTTGTCTACATCTCTTAATCTTCTATCAAATTCTTCATCTTCGAGAAATTCATTCATTTTTAAAAGTCGGTTTTTTGAAGTTTATTTTGATAGAACCTTCCTAAGATTTGTTCTTTGTCTTGATCGATTAATTCATATGTCGGAGGTGATGTGGTGTTTACTTTATCAACGATGAATATTTCGTTCGTCCAGTTTCCAACGTAACCTTTTTCGAATTTGCTTTTATATTTGAAAATACGAACTCGATCTCCAACTTTAAATTTAAGTTTGATATTTAAATTATTTATTTCATTTTCGTAGTTATGTTGCGCGTTAATTGACTTTATAATATTTGGATTACTCGAGGCTTGTGTTGGTGTGACACCTATAGATGAATGAATTTTGTTATTGTATTCATCTACAACCTCTGGTAATATTTTAAGCCATTTTTGAGATTTCAATTCCGTGAACTTTTTGAATAATTTATTTTTTAGAGTCCTGTTAAATCTTTCTATTACTACAGCTTTACCTTCGTTATGCGTACTGTAAATTTCAAATCCCAGAGATTTCATATTTTTGTTATAAAATTCACTTCCTTTATCTACCCACAGTTTTTCTGGATGTCGGTTAGATTGTTTCATAATCGTTTCAAATGCATGTTTGACTGATAATCCCGTTTTGTTTTCCAAAGGAATAACCCATACATATCTCGTATACAAATCTATAACTGTTAAGCAATATTTAAATCCTCTTTCAACTGGCATATGAATTAAATCGGCTGACCATATTTCATCTTTATCAAACACTTTAACTTTTAAAAAGTTTTTAGTTTTTCTAAATTCTTTATGAATTTCATCCGCTAATCCCATGCCTAATCTCATCTTTGCTTTCAAGAGTTTAATGATTAATGCTCTTTGCATTCTCTCTTTGAAAGTTGGATTTGGAATATTTTCAAGTTCGATTATCATTTGTCTGTCTGCTTCGTGTCTGAAGTTTATGTCTTTGTTTCTGTATAGTATGTCGTGTTTAAGCGCAGCGGCGTCAACTCTATTGACTGGTTCTTCCCCTGGTTTGGGTTTATCGTTTTCGTCTAATCGCAGATCTAACCTAGTACCTGGACTGGTGTAATTATGACCCGGAAGATGTTTTTCTCCGGGATATCTCGCCCATGGAAATCCAGGAAGAGAACCCAATGATTTTTGTATATCTCCTGAACCGAAATAAGTTTTTGGAGCGTGAGCGACTATCAGTTTTATCCTATAACTTTAAAACCTTTTCCTTTCCTTTCTTCTAATCTCCTGTTTCGCAGTTCTCTTATTAGCTCTAATTCTTTCAACTCGTTAGATTGTTTCACTGTGTCGCTTATACTTTTTCCAGCTTCCGCGATTGAGCCGATGGCTTTCGCTCCGGTTGAAATGAGTGATTTATTTTTTGAAACAAAGCTAGCTACTTTTGGAATTATTGTTTAACCTAGAGAAAATAATGAAGAAAAGATACCGTCCCCGAATAATCTTCGAATCTGTGTTGTTCGTGTTTTAGAATTAAACTCATCGTATTTTTAAATGAGTTAATTTAACGAAGAAATTGTTTTTTCCAAAAAAGAGTTATCTCCCCTTTTTCTAGAAGTTTCTAGACTAAAAATAACATTACTTAAAACGAGGCTATTAAAAATGTTATGTTATTTTATATATAAGGGTATTTTTAATATGCTTTTTTTTTTGATGGAATGTAGGAAATTGATTGAAGGTGTTTTTTGGTGTTTAGGTCTTTTTTAATGTAAGAATTTTATGAAATGTAGGATGTTTTGCTGTAAGAATTTATGAAATGAAGGGAATTTAGGTCTTTTTTGGGAGCTTATAGATTGGTCGCATTTTCCCCATGAAATGAAATGGAATGGGGAATCCCCATGCGACCAATCTATAAGCTCATACACTACTTACGTCAGGGTAATCTAGATGATTTCTTCTCTCATGAAAACCAGGGTTCCCTCCATCTCTCTCGCAAGATGGAATTAGCCGCACTGGATCCAAAGCAGACTTTGACAATTCTTGAACGATTTGGAGAGGAAACGATGGCATGCACAGGATAACGTTAAGCTTCCAGGCAACTGGGAAGATTTCCTTAAAATGGATCATAACAAACATGATCTCTTCTCCTTCTTAGCAACTTGCATACAAGCACTGGATACCGGAGGAAAAGTCATTTTGTCTACAAAAGATTCACATGTCGTAAGATCTGCTGGAGAAACTGACTTAAATCTTGACAATGTGCCACCATGTGCTCAAGAAGAAGCTGATACGCACATTTTTCTGCACATCAAAGCTGCATCTCAGTCTGGACATCAGCATATTAAGATTAGAACTGTGGACACAGATGTTCTAATACTTGCGGTCTCACTCTTAAAAGAACTTAAAGAATAGTCGTTGTGGATAGCGTTTGGTACTGGTAAGAAATATCGGTATATTGCAGCACACACAATTGCTGAAGCGTTTAGTGATGAAAAGGCAACTTCTACTGAAGTTTAACATGTAGAGATCGCCAAAACAACTGATCTATTTAGCATGTGTCCATACTGAGGTTTGACATGTAGAGATCTTCAAACAACAGAACTGATCTACTTCAGCCCGTGTCCTTACTGTAGTTTGACAAGTAGAGATCTCCAGAAAACTGGACTATTTCAGATTGTGTCTTTCCTGTAGTTTGACATGTAGAGATCTCCAGACAACTGGACTATTTCAGACTGTGTCTCTGCTGTAGTTTGACAGAGATCTCCAGACAACTGGACTATTTCAGACTGTGTCTTTACTGTAGTTTGACATGTAGAGATCTCCAGACAACTGGACTATTTCAGACTGTGTCTCTACTGTAGTTTGACAGAGATCTCCAGACAACTGGACTATTTCAGACTGTGTCTTTACTGTAGTTTGACAAGTAGATATCTCCAAACAACTGATCTATTTCAGCCTGTGTCCCTACTGAAATTTGACAAGTAGAGATCTCCAGACAACTGATCTATTTCAGCCGGTGTCCCTACTGAAATTTGACAAGTAGAGATCTCCAGACAACTTGACTATTTCAGACTGTGTCTTTACTGTAGTTTGACAAGTAGAGATCTCCAGACAACTGATCTATTTCAGCCTGTGTCCCTACTGAAATTTGACAAGTAGAGATCTCCAGACAACTGGACTATTGGAAACTGGAAAGCTTGAAAAAGCCAAGGCCAAAAATAAAAAGAATAAAATCAGTCAATGGTAGATATTGAAATTGAACACATTGTAGATTATAAAATTAATGGTATTGAACGTTAAATCACCCTCCAAATAATAATAATATACAGAGAAATTATATATCTACGATTAAAAAGTCAAATGATAGCCTGCTATAATATAAGACAAGTCATGCCACAATCCTTGAGAACCTGTGTGTGTCTTGTCCAAGACAAGGCCCGAAGTCCAATGGACGGGTGTTTTAAATTTTTCTTTTAAATTTCACAACTTTTATTTTATAACAATATAAATATTTTTAGAACAGTCTATAAATTAGTCACAACAATAGCTTTAATAACAAAAAAATAATAAACACAAATCACATGTTAGTACACGAAAGGAGAATAAACAATTCTTGATTTTTAGCTCATTGGTGATTTCTTTGATTTTTCATATAACAATTTCATTTCCTCATAATTATAACAATAATAAACTCTATATTTTACATTTATCATAATTAGCTTTATTACATCAAAGTGACATGGCCCTGTCTAACATTCATGGGGACAAACATAGACTCTACATTTTGCATGGAGTAAGAATTAGGTCCATTTCATCAAAGTGACATAGGCAAGTCTAACATTCAGCCCATACGAACAACCATAGTTATAACGTATAACATGAAAAAACAACATATAATTTTCACAATATTTTGATTAACAATTAGTTAAAATATATAAGAATTAAATGTGTTTGAGATGGACAGATTCATATACATATTGTATTATAATAAAATAGCAAGACAAGCTGCATCATGATCAAACCACACCCCAATTCATCATACTTCATACATAGTAAATAAGATTTATCAAAACCCATGCTGTAGACCCTTAATAATAAAACATATAAATTCTGCAAACCCTCTGAAAAATGCATAGAGTGAGTCATTTGATTATTAAATTTCTGGGAGGGAATTGTTTTTATTTCAAATTTCACAAGAGAATATATGGAAATGTGATAGTTTTGGATTACAGTAGTTTATAATTTGGTAGTAGAGAATGTACCATGGAATGTTAAGGTCATCATGACATCAGCTGGTAAAACGGCACGAGCCAATTCCTTCATTGTCTCAGCATCAATAATAACCAGGTAGGAGGCCAGCCCAGCAATGTTGGACATTATAGGTGCCAGCAATACACCTGAAATTTAAATCATGAATACCACGTTGGTCTAAAGCTTAAATTCTAAATTAGAAATATTTTGACAAATATTCTGAAACAAGTAAATACATCAGCTACATCTGAAAAACGAGTTAACATAATTCTATATTTCTATATTACTCTATAATTTAGTTTTACCGTTTGAATCGTTAGTACTTAGTTTATCTATGGTATTCTACTTCTAAAATACAAGCTCATATAATCTTATGGTATACATTTTCTTGAAAGCTATCTCAAGATTATGGCATACTTATTCTGAAAAATGAGTTAATATAGTTATATAGTAAGAAAAGGTGCGCATTATATATGCCTGCGCATTATATTCGCAAATATACGGTAAATAACCAAACTCATAAATTTTGCCCTATAAGCTATATGGTAGAAAATAGATCGAATGCTACTGCTGTACATGATTATCTTTAGGCACTGTCCATTGTTAAAATTAACAAATTTAGTCATGAATAAAAATCAATAACATACTGAAATTCTATCAAACGATTTTTTGATGGTTATAATTCCACTCACTGGTGTTCTGTTAACTATATAATTCTACTTATTGGGCTATTTCAAAATTTATTCTTTTGTTTTCAATTCATTACCAGGGAGAGGTGACTTTATTGCAACAGAAATTACGACAGAAGTTGGGTGAAATGAAACTGAAGACATAATATACAATACAGTATAGTTGTGTATGGCTTTTTTAAATTAATCAAACTATTTTATTAATTGATGTTTCAAATGAATTATCATGTATTCTTAATCATATCATTATGTTCTTATTTCATATAATTAAGAGTTTTAACTAATCAAAAATGTCCATGTATGTACAGTCTGGATAAACAAAAAAAAAAAGGCTTTTTGACCTTTCTTGATCGGTCACTCAATGAAATTCTACTAGTTACGAAAAAATAGGAATCCATCGTTAAAGGGTCTTGTCAAACTGAAGGTTCGCATCAAAGACATTGACAAAAAATATAAAAAATGTCACTGGAGGTTTTCTATTCAATATTGAAACTCGTCCATTTTGTAATTGATCTCTGATGGTTGAAGATAGCTGCCTAAAACTTTCACAGTGAAGCTTCTTTTGCCTTACAGTATATGCAGGATAATTATTATAAATAAATGTTATTCCACTTACCTTCATCTTCTCTCTTACCACCAGGTTTGGGTACGAATATCGGTTCCCCTGGGAAATAATCAAACTCTTCACCATCAGATGTATACGTTATCACTTTACGCTCTTTTAAATCTAGTTTATGGATCTAAATATAAAGATTTTTATTTAATGGAAACTCTCACAAGCAAAGTTGTCAATGGCTTCGAGATTGGCCGAATTTCTAAGCTAGTTATGAGATTTTTGCCAGAAAAACGTGCTTTAGGGGCTGCGAGGGGGGGCACCCTTCCGCTGATCTCAAGAATGCGAAGCTATTCAAGAGCAAGGCAAGCTTGAGCTTTATTAACTATAAAAGAAATATTACAACGTTATCTAATAAATGGAATACAAACCTTATTGTATTTAGAAAATATAGTAGAAGCGTAAACATAGCGATATTCTTTGGAGTTGTAATGTTGATAATTTATTTGTGGAAGTTCCATAAACAAACCCTCTACAAATAACATATTCTTCATTGACACAATCTCAATTTCTTGGTTATCCAATGACAGTGTATTACCAGTCATGTTTAATAGAAGTTTTAAAATGCTTTGTGACATTTAGTCTATGGATTATCATTTTCATTGAAGATGATTTGAGTGACTAATCACATATATTTGACAAAAATTAGACACACATGTCATCTGCTAGTCGATTAGGTGCCGGTGGTTCGAATCCTCAAGGTAAGAAAAATTCTGATGCCCGTGCCTGTGCTTCTGAGAGTCGGCCCGGTGCCGGCTTTCACCCCCTGATACCTACTTATGATGCTGACATTTTCAATTTCAAAGATATCATAGTGAAAGCATTGTTACAAATCAAGTTAAAAGCTGACAAGAGATACAAGAGAACTCACTGCACAAAATGATATATTTAATTAAATTAAATCAGTATAAGTCAAAGTATTAGGTTTTATTTTCTTTCTTTAAATGTAAATAAGCTCTGAAATATTTTTCACCATTGGTGGCAAATATTTACCTTCTATGATCAAATCTGGTGTCAGGTAAACACTACCATCTTCTTGTAGTGTAGCTGTAGCTTTAATGTCCAATGTCACCAAATTCTTACCAACCACTGCCTGTAAAGAATAAAGGAAAGCTGATTCAAGATATCACAGACCTGCACAAGTCTAAGAATTGAAGAATATGAAGACCTACATTGGTTATATCGGGCTTACACTTTAGATCTCACTTCTGTAGGCAGGTAAGTTTGGTTTTGGAATGTGGAATAGTGCAGTCAGTAGCTTCTCATCTGCTAGGCAGAGTAGTGATGAATTCTTAATGCAAAGAATCGACTGCAACGACCAATACTTCAGAGATTCTTCAAGGGGAAATTGAGATCAAATTCCTCAGGTCCTTGAAAAATGTCCGATTGACAACAAAATAAATTAACAGCCCTGATTCAGCCCCATTCTACAATCCTAAACAATTAGACTTGATAGTGGTTTGAACTATAAAAAGAGTAAAAAATATCTAAAAAATGATATGATTTTTACTTACTTTTGAAACATCCAGGGGTAAAACAAATCTTCCAAATTTAGGTTTAGAATCTGTTTCTTTATATTTATAGTCTTTATAATGCTCCATATACAATTTGTCTACGAAGCCAACATCATCATAAAATACAAAATCCACCACCAGCTGTTTGTTTTTCTCATAACAGTTGATAAAATGGAATACAAACAGCGGATCGGACATGTATTTAGTTTTTAGATGTACTCCTGATTTGGTCATCACATTGAATAAAGTCTGGAACATAAGATATAACTCTGTTTTATTCTTGTTATATTTATGAAATGAATTGTCATTTATTGTGGGGGGGGGGGGTGGGCCCTCTGTAAAAAATTGGTTGCCCCCCCGGAAAAAATTCTGAGAACGGACCAATTCCAATACCACACCTATACACTATACCTCATTGACCCTCCACATTATTTGTCCTTCTGAAGATCGAAGCCTGGCTACTGGCCTGAAGCAACATCTCCTAGGTTCTGATTGGTTCAAATGATAAAGTATTGTCCACTCTCAATCCTATCATTCAATGATGTTCCATGCTTATAAATAGAGAGTAGCATAATTAGATTCTTGATTCTAAGCTTAATATAAGTAAAGGAAAGACGGAAAAAATGTGCTAATAAACTACTAAAGTGTTTCTGAAGAATGTTGGCCGAAACGTTAAACAAAATAATAATAACCATAATAAGAAATAATTTGATAGTTCAGATGTTACATAGCCACAATGTCTACTGGAGGATCTACTAGCTTTCCTACTGTAATTTAACATGATAAATATAGTACTATTTCAGACGTGATAAGATATCGTCACAGGTAGGGTCAGAGTTCAAATGTCACTTTTTGGAACCTGTGACAATATCCTACCATACACTACATCTAAGGAACAAGGGTAAGATTTATCAAGGTAAGTATAATCCTGCAAGCAAGTAGTACATAGAATAAAATGCAGGCTTGTCCATGTCCTACAACAAAGTCAAGAAAAATTTTATTTCGTTATTATTTTTTGATATTTAACTTTAATTAAATTTTTCTTTTTGTTTTGTTACTAGTTTTTGTCGGTCTACAATGGAGATTGACCCAAAAAATAATAATGTAGTTTTATTTAGATTGTTTCAACCCAACAGGTTGACATGCAAGCAAAAAAGCACCAAGCACCAACCTAGTCCATGTTATAAATAGGTGAGCACCAATTATCTATGAAAAATAATTAAGAAGGTAAAACAGAGAGTAAGAGACATAAAGTTTATTCTTATTTCTTTTGATGTGAATTTAATCAGTTAATATTTATTAAATTCATTTCTACCTCTCTTTCATTTTAAGTAGGTAAAGGAATAAAACTGATTTTCAAGGCATGGTAACACATGCCCACTTTGAACATTTCCAGTAAAAACCAACAAAATGAAAGGTGTAAATACTATAGTGTTTAAATAAAATACAAAATTTGGGGAGCTAATGATAGAACCCACTGACATTTCAGTACTTATTATACCATAAACAAAATTTGACAAAAAACACCCACCGAACCATAATAAATCAATCCCAAAGAAAGAAAGAAGGAAAGAAACAAACCTTTTCCTGTGGATAAGCCACTATACAATCATTGACTGTATAATTAACTAACTTTTTAAATAGCAACCGCAGTACACTGAAAGCATAGGGTTGTTCCAGGACAACGAAAAAGTTTTCTGCCATGCCAAAACTATGATTGTATCCCATAGTTCCTTTCCATCTTGATGGAAAACTTCCTACTACTTCCATCTGATCCCAGCTTAAATTACCTGCAATAAACAATATCAATTAAATATACGTTCTGAAACTGATAGATGTAAATTCCAATGGAGGTTTTGTTAATGATATGTGTGTTAGATGCATGAGGTGATGTCTAGTCTATAAAATATAAGAAAATATGAATGCCAAGTAAACATTACATTACTAATGGAGTGGTATTTTGACAATATTAGACATTACTAACCATTATAATTGGATGGTATTTGGACAATATTGAAGATTACTTACCATTATAATTGGTTGGTATTTTATAAATATTGAAGATTACTAACCATTATTATTTGGTGCCATTTTGACAATATTGAAGATTACTAACCATTAGAATTGGGTGGTATTTTGACAATAATGAAGATTACTACCCATTAGTATTCGGTGGTATCTTGATAATATTGAAGATTACTAACCATAAGTATTTGATGGTATTTTGACAATATTGAAGATTAATAACCATCGGTATTTAGTGGTATCTCGACAATATTAAACATTACTAACTATTAGTTTGGTGGTATTTTCAAAAAATGTTGACGATTACTAACCATTAGTATTTAGTGGTATCATGAAAATATTAAACATTACTAACTATTTGTATTGGGTGGTATTTTGACAATATTGAAGATTACTAACCATTAGTATTTGGTGCCATTTTGACAATATAGAAGATTACTAACCATTAGTATTTGGTGGTAATTTGACTATATTGAAGATTACTAACGATAAGTATTGGGTGTAATCTTGACAATATTGAAGATCACTAACCATTATTATTTTGTGCCATTTTGACAATATCGAAGATTACTAACCATTAGTATTGGGTGGTATCTGGACAATATTGAAGAATACTAACCATTAGTATTGGGTGGTATTTTGACAATATTGAAGATTACTAACCATTAGAATTGGGTGGTATTTTGACAATATTAAACATTACTAACTATTTGCATTGGGTGGTAATTTGACTATATTGAAGATTACTAATGTTTATTATTTTGTGCCATTTTGACAATATCGAAGATTACTAACCATAAGTATTGGATGGTATTTTGACAATATTGAAGATTACTAACCATTAGAATTGGGAGGTATTTTGACAATATTGAAGATTACTAACCATTAGAATTGGGAGGTATTTTGACAATATTGAAGATTACTAACCATTAGAATTGGGAGGTATTTTGACAATATTGAAGATTACTAACCATTAGAATTGGGAGGTATTTTGACAATATTGAAGATTACTAACCATTAGAATTGGGTGGTATTTTGACAATATTGAAGGCTTTAGTATAATTGAAGCAAGTAGCAAGGTTATACAGAGTTCCATCTGGCTCTAGATGAGGGTGGGCAGTGGAAAGATGAACTGCTAAATAGTCAGTTAAATCGTTCTGGAACGAAAGGAAATAAGTTTTACACCTCAATAGACTTCATTAAACATTTAGATGCACGAGGATCATGTCTACCAGCTTATCCTAGAATAATCCTCATAGCATTGATCTTTTTGAATTATTTATGAACACCTAATGCTGGGATGACTGGAATATTAAGGAAATGTGACTTTTTCAAGTTTTCCCGACTTTCACCGAGATTAGAATTCACGACCACCATTTGTTCGTTGTAGCTAGATTCAAACAGTATAATTGCCTGTGCTACAGCCCATTCTAAGAGAAAGGAATCTTCATCAAATTGGGCTAAAAACCATCTTACAGGAATGATTTCCAACTTTCAACAAAATATCAGTCACATCCTACCTGCCCAGATTTCGATAGAGTTTTAGGATCAACTCTGTTCATTTTGGGAGTTTCTGTAAAGGCCCATAATTCATCTCCTCTTTCCACAATATTCACAGCTGTATTATCTGTTCTTTCTGGTGGTTGAAATAGGGAGAATATCCTAAAAGAACAAATCAATTTTGGCTTGAAATGATAGTGTTAGAAAGTATCTGGCTAAATTCTACAGGGATAAAGCCACATCAATGCTTTACTGTCTGATAAAGCTGAATTTTCAGCTATCTGTATCACTTTAAAAAATAAAACAATAGATAGTCAGTTCTTGTGTAATTCGCCTACCAGTAGTTGAAATTCAGCTCCATTGGTAATGCATAGATTTAAATGACTTAATCTCTTCAGAAAAGAAACTTGCTTAAAAATAAATTCAATTTAAAGCCAATATTTATTAAAAAAAAGATTTCAGCTTGATTAGCCGTTGCTTGTAAAAAGTTTCAAAAGATATACTTATTGCTGAGCTGTCAATCTGGATCGAAACCAACAATCTTTAAGTAAAGCTATGTAAAACATTGCAATAACATTAAATCAATTATTTACCCTAAAGGCTACAGGTGTAAGGCTCTTACCTAGAGAAAATACTTTTACAAGGATCTGGAAGAGCATTAGAAGCAAACTGATCAACAACAATACGATTGGCTTTATAACACTTCTCCCATGTCTCACTATCCAGTAAATGACTCTGAAACATTACTCCACCATCTTGGATTGTGAATCTGAGGAGTACAGCGAATCCATCAAAAACATGGTTAACTTTTTTATTGTTTATTTCAAATAAACCAGATCCATTTCTAAAGAGTGAACCTTTAACCCAGGTTGGGATTGTACCTGTGAAATAAAAGATTGATTTAAGCTGAGTCCAGAACAGATCTTTGTGTACAAAAATTTATCAAATTGCTGGTTTTGCTTGGTTCATAAAGGATTAAGGCTGTCAATCATTCAGAAAATGATCAGATCAAGACATATTGATACAGTGATTAATGTAATCCTTACAACAGTTACCTCCTTTTCAATATATAATCAATATCTGGCCCCTGAAAGAAATTTGAGAAAGTTTTGAGACCCTGGGGCCTGGCTCAAAATAGTTTTTAATGTGGCAGAATAATGATTTTGCATTTTTTTTTTTTAAATTACCAATCGGATGAAAAATCTCAGATTATCTTATGCTTGGACCCAGCTGGCAATACTCATCTGACCAAGGTCTTGCATGAGTGTTTATCAGATCTGGTCCAGACATGGGCTGAGGACATAGTTTGTTTTGATATTTCATACATTAACACTCATTAGAAAAAGGTTCTGATGTCATAATATTCATAAATGCCTGTGACAATATTAATAATAACTTTATTTTGGCAATCTATTTAGACATTAGTCTAATTTTCAATAGGTCTCACTAAACTACAAATTATATACAAGATTACAGAAAGAATAAAATCACAGAAAATAACATAAAATATATATACATTTACAACATAGCATGGATGAGGAAAGAAATATGAAAATGTAACCACTATGTTTTCCCACAAAACTACGAATTATATACTAAGTATATAATAAAAAAAGTTTCATTAAACATATACATTAATGGCCTGGAAGTGACAGTGCAAATAACTACAGTTTGTTTGGCTGTTAAATTCTGAAAAGTTGATGAGGCTTATCAGTCATTACATAAATATTTATAAATCTCCTTAATGAAGCATAAAATATAATGACAGACTAACCTTTGACCTGTAGTTTGATTGGTTGAACCTGATCATCTCCCGGTTTAAAACTCATCCAATGAGGATATTCTCCATCTGTAGGGGATGATCCATTTTCAGATTTTTTAGCATCTGTTTTTGAACTCATCTTCTGAAGCAGAAAAAGAAAAATTCGGTTGAAAAACACAAAAACTACAAGAATATGTAAATACAGTAGAAACATAACTATATATGGTTCTTGCATCGAAATAACACAACAAATGTAATCAAAACCATTTTGAATCTCTAACTCGGCTTAATAAATTGAATTTCTTAAAAAAGGGTTTAACATCAATCCAATCACATTTAAAGCCATTTCTAAGCCCTTAAATGTGATTTGAAGGAAGGCTTTGTTGAAATAATCCAGTGTATTTCAAAATTCAACTTAATAAGTAGAGTTAGATTCCAAATGGTTGTTAACTATGTTCTTGGGTGTTATTTCCATATAAGAATCAAAGTTTTGTGGGTCTGGGGGTACCAATAGGGATCAGACTGACTTATGGAGGGGGGGGGGGGGGATTGTCATCTTTCAGGATTTATATTTCAAAAGAGGAAAAAGAAGGAAAAATTCAATTGAGTTGGTGCATTCTGACGTACATTTAGGAAATGACATATAAAAGTCTTATTCGAAATTTCTCATAATTGAAATGTTGGTACAAACTATAGTTTGAGGGACGAATACCACCCCCTCCCCTTACATTCCCACTAGACTAGTGCCTCTACAAAAAGAGAGCATCAGAAATACCAAGTGATACTGTCATCTTAATATCTGGCTCATTGTTCACATTCAATGCTCATGCTCCTAAATGGTTACTTCCTGTTTGCAAAACTAGAAGTGTCCTGATGAGAATTGTGTATCCGAATTGTGATTCATCAGCAAAAGATAAGCTCTACCGTGCTATTTAATTTGAATAAGAGAAGATTGATTTACCATAAATATACCACCAGCAATAAATTTACAAGAATCCTTGAGAATATTCAACCTTAACATAGGATAAATTCTTGATAAAATAACACCACAACCACAGAAAGTACTAGAAAATATTTCTGTCACATAAAATAAATCACCCCATAACAATGTGACAAGCTATGACAAGTTTCAAGTTAGATTCCCTCAACTGAATGAATTTTTTATTCATATTAAATAGAAAATTGACAATTTACAACTTTAAAAATAGATCCCCCATTGAATCCATTTTCTAATGTGTTCTCATTGTTTGGAATTAGGGCATTAAATATCTAGCAAACCTTGGTAAAAATAATATAATAGACTAATCATGACACAGAACAAGTATTTGGTCAAAAAGTGGGATTATTATTTTAACTGAACATTAGACTGATATTACAATATGATAACAATAACATCACCTGACCTTAAATTCTTCTATTCTATTCTTTAGTTCAGATTTTGACCCATTTCCAGACCTCAGGGCCTACCATTAAATCAATTATATCTTGTCAACTTTTTTCTTAGTTTTGAGCAAAGCTATAAATAAACGCCCTTAGTCAATCCTCTATCAAAATATAGTAATAAAAACACACTTAGGCCTATACCTTTAACATTTATACTGTTCTATACTTATAGATACTTATAGTGACAAACTATACACAAAATATATTATCTTTTTACATGAATTATCATCTTTATACATGATTTATTTCAGTGGGTTAATGCACCGCATTGTTTTCGCAATGTTTTCGCAATGTTTTTTTTTTTTAAATTCTGGTCAGAGCCCTCAGCCAAAACTATACATGCTTAATAAGATTATGTCTAAATCATTATTCGTGATACCATTGATATTGATATGTGGAACAAATAATCGATTACATAAAAAGTATGTGCTCTGATTTTTGGAGTTACAGTTCAATATTTCCACTAATCGCCAAATATGTAAAGGCGCATATCCATGAGATCCATCCAATGACATTGTGGTGTGCATGGAACGCATATATCTAGACGAAACGTCCTGAATATGGACGAATCAACCCGGGATCAATCGTCATCTCGAACGCACACTATATTTGTATTCAGTTGTAATAAAGTTTTCATGAATTAACCTCGTGTTTTCTTCTTGAAAGCATACGACTCTCCGTAGTGCTAATTTAGCCTCATGCCTAGAACCTCAAAGCATCACAATATCATCCCTTGTGTTGTGCTATGTTCACTTCCTGTTTTACATATATTCTCTTGTGTTTTCTGTTATACATGAATCATTATCATTATCTTTATACATGAATTATCATCATTATCTTTATACATGAATTATTATTATTATCTTTATACATGAATTATTATCATTATCTTTATACATGAATTATTATCATTATCTTTATACATGAATCATTATCATTATCTTTATACATGATTCATTATCATTATCTTTATACATGAATTATTATCATTATCTTTATACATGAATCATTATCATTATCTTTATACATGAATTATTATCATTATCTTTATACATGAATTATTATCATTATCTTTATACATGATTCATTATCAGTATCTTTATACATGAATTATTATCATTATCTTTATACATGAATCATTATCATTATCTTTATACATGAATTATTATCATTATCTTTATACATGAATCATTATCCTTATCTTTATACATGAATTATTATCATTATCATTATACATGAATCATTATCATTATATTTATACACGAATCATTATTATTATCTTTATACATGAATCATTATTATTATCTTTATACATGAATCATTATTATTATCTTTATACATGAATTATTATTATTATCTTTATACATGAATCATTATCATTATCTTTATACATGAATTATTATAATTATCTTTATACATGAATTATTATCATTATTTTTATACATGATTCATTATCATTATCTTTATACATGAATCATTATCATTATCTTTATACATGATTCATTATCATTATCTTTATACATGAATTATTATCATTATCTTTATACATGAATTATTATCATTATCTTTATACATGAATTATTATCATTATCTTTATACATGAATCATTATCATTATCTTTATACATGATTCATTATCATTATCTTTATACATGAATTATTATAATTATCTTCATTATAAAGTTTTCATGAATTAACCTCGTGTTTTCTTC